ACACAGTAGATTGGAAAGGCTTGTGTGAGTTGATGCATTTCATGAAGCTAAGTTTGAACTTTTCCTCAGAGAACGATCACAACTGGCTGTTTAAAGGAGCTGCTAACAGGACAGTCTGTCCCAGCACTGGATGATGGATTACAATAAACACACAGAGCTATATCAGTTAGCATACTCTGCAGTGAAATAAGGTGGGAAATAATCTGACAGCATGTCAGAGTGACACACCCTGTCTGTTAATGGAAACAGTGATCGAAAGACGTCTTTTGACACAAAGACTTTTTTGCTCTTACTGCAAAAAATTAAAACTCATTGGCCTGAAATGGTCCAGTTCTCTATTCTACAGATCTGAACTGGCACCAGTGGTTCTCTACACCTTCCCTAAACAACAATAAGACAGCTGTGAGGATGTTCTGGAGGGCAGACTGGGCAGAATCTACAGCAGCGTACCTGAGTGGTCTCATTGAAGCCCGGCAGCCAGCCGATCTCTGCTGGCCGCTCCTCGTCTCCGTTGCTGCAGCCGAGCGCCAGCAGCGCTCCTTTGGTGACCAGCAGCATGTCTCCGACATGCAGGTCGATGTCCTCCTCCCTCTCCCTCTTGTAGTCGTACAGCGCACGGTACTGAAAGCCCTCTGTGCTCATCCTGACGTCAATATGGCTTCAGAGTTTCTATCAAAAACTTTATCAACTCTGGGGTAGAAAAAACGGTAGAAAAATAGGGTTCTCTGAGGTCCTGAGGGCGTCTAAAGTGGAGAATAAAGTAAATATGGCGTTTCCAGCTGTTGGTGCGTCTCTCCTGTCTCCATGTTTGCTAATGTTCTGTCATCCCTCCAGACCCATCCACAGTCGCTCGATCAGAGAAGCATCTTCCTCCTTCATGAACTGGAGACTGGGCGGAGGTAGAGGCCACATCTGTGGAGCCACAGCTCGACCTGGGAGAAGAAACAGGATTTTAGCAACGAGCAACGGGATGAGAGCAGCTGCAGTTTATGGACACATCAAACCGTCTGCAACAGATTTACGATGTCATTGACTCTGAGCCGCAAACTGTAGCTGCTTCTAGAGTCTTAGAATATTAAGAATTTATATGAAGTTTAGTTCTGTTTAAATATACAGTGCAAAGTCTCGACATGTTTTATCTAAAGGCGATTTAGTAAAAACTATTTAAGAAAATCGTCCAGATTGGTCAAAAGGTTTCTAAGGAAACCCAGCTGATTGCATCTAATCACTGACTTTGCAGAAATAGCTCCTCTGTGAGCGTGTGGCATGTCACTGACTTTGCAGCAACCTCTCAGCCAGCGCGCATGCAGCGGCGTTCGTATATTTAGCAGCGGTTATGCAGCCGTAGCCTCATGCAGGGCTTCCCCAGGATGTTGTTTAGCTGCAGCGATGAGCAGACCAGATAAAACCGGATCTTTGGGTTTTAAATCAGCAAATACGTATAAAAATAGTTACAGATTATATAACTGATTAACAGCCGAAGAAGGCTTATGTTTGAAATGATACCAAGAGCATCAGAGTTCATCACCATGTTTCTCAGAAGTACCACTGAAACCTAACTTGCACCAAAGCTCAGACTGTAACTGGACACAGTTTACCGTCAAACAGGTCAGGTGATCCAGACGCACTAAAACCCAGCTCTCTGGTTTTGGTTAGTATGAATAGTTTGAACAGAGGGGCTGAAAACTTTATCAACTCAAAGAGCCGCTTTGTCCTCAGCAGCTGCAAAATATATTCATGAAGAGCCATACTGAGGATTGTATTCATATTAAAAGCCTAGGAAATTAAACTTAATTCTTCATCTAAAATCAGAAAAAAAGAAAATCTATCATTTTACCTTTAACAAAGAAAAAAAACTTATATAATTTGCAAATTAAGCAAGCTTAAAGCTTAAGACTAGTCATTACTTGTAAAAGCTGTGTACTATTGTTGCCCTGCTGCTTTAGAAATTCTATGCAAATACTGCATAAAAACTTCCAGAATAACCTTTTTCTGATGCCTTAATAATTAAAATTTTTATCTAGTTTTGTTAGAGCCACATAGAATAGATGGAGAGAAAAAAATAACAATAAAGTTATTAAAATCCTTGCTACATGCAGCAGAAAAGTGAAAAAACTAATGAGTAGATTTTAACATTTTAATTTTTTTTTATTAATTATTCATTATTTGTGAGTCATGGCAGGAAATGGGTATTACTGGTTCACTTTCACAGCTGAATCACTTATTTTAGAGGAAAGGCGGCAAATCTTATTTAGGGGAAACATGTATGAAGGTTCCAATTTAGCTCTACGACCATTAAATTAATAACATGTAAAATACTGACCAATCCTTTTTCCTGAAATATTTAGTTTTTAATCAAAAATACATCAACTTTGAATCATTAAATGAAGTTGTTGAAATGTTCAAGTTAATTAATCAAACAAATCGTTAAAAGATATGCAGTTGGAACAATTATGGTTAATTTCCAAACTAATAAATCTACTATAAAACATTTAAAACTAAAAGAAAAACCTAACAGAAAAAAGTATTTCATGGGTCTTACCAGGGGAAATTACCAGAAATTCTACAGCCTGGATGTAAAATTGGCAACTCATAAAATAAATATATATATAATTTAAAAAAAGAAGATTTAAATTAGTGTACTTTTTCAAAACTTGAAGTTTTTCCAAGGGGCTGTAGGGGGTTTCATTCAGTAGGTGGGGGGGACCAGCTGACTCAGGTTCTCCATATTAATATATGCATTTAATTAAGAAACGTTTTCAACAATTACAATGTTATAGATTTTAGTTTAGCCCTTTTAACAGTTCATGAAAAGTTAATTAAAAATCATTTAAGAATTAGGAAATTCATTTGAAAAAAAAAAAAGGTTCTGATCTTAATATTTTTTTGGTTAATTTATTGACATGATTAATAAACTAATCAAATCTGTATAATCTACATAAAACTACAAATGATTTAAGCCCCTTGATCCTGCAAATTTTCTGTCTTTTTAGCATCTTATTTTAACATAAGTACCCCTTAACTGCTGCAATAAACAACATAAAACACATTCTATGTCCACACATCTATTTAGACCAACTGATTATATGTCTATATAAAGCTATTTATCAAAGAAGAACTAATGGTCAAAAAAGTTTTCTTTTTCTGATTTTGGAGATCTGATCAGACTACATTATAGATGGATTCTTATTTTATTATTTTCCTCCAATCTTTTTGTCTTTTCTTCTTCAGAGCAATCAGCGCAGAGACTCGCAGGAATAATGAATGTTTAACACCTTATTAATGCCATTTACTTTCCATTTCAAGTATTACTTTATATGTAATTCCTTCAAAATGTCGAGTTTTATACTTTACATATTTTTCATTTACTCTTAATATTTCTTAAGCACTTTTAGACTAAAAGTTGTCATATATAAAAGAGAATTGTAAGGATGGTATTTAAATACAGTTCAGGGGTTTTAAAGTTAAATCCCTATAAGAACGTTTTTGTTTTATCAGTCTGATCTTAAAGGTGGTTTAAAGCAGAAACTGCTCCGTGATGCAGTAAAGGCTGCTGGACAGAAACAGGAGCCCGACAAAAAAAGCTCCAGGAAACAGGAAACCAACAAGCTAACTGTGCTAGCTGGGGGAAAAAAAGACGTCTCTCACCTTTTAGATTTTTAAAGCTTTATCGCCAAGAAAAGGCTCCAGCAGACAGAACTTAGAACAACATGATGGGTTCCATCTCCACGGGTTCTCCAGAACCAAAATAGATCCAATACGTAGCGAATATCCTTAGGATGGAGACGCTGGAGGATCGAGCGACCGTCCGTTCAGCTTCTCGGCAGCAGACTGACGTCAAGTTATCCGGCACGTACACCTTTTTCCGGTATAGACTTTCAAAATAAAAGCAAACACCCTGACGCAAGCGTAAAATCTTTTAAAATAGTTGCTTTTAGAATATAATTCCCGTCTGTTTATTTTACATCTGATTTTTTTTTATCGCCAAATAAATAAAACGTCATCATTAATAAATACTTTTAAACTAATTTTTTTTTTTTACATTATTTGCATTGAAACAACGGTGTCTTTTATTAAAGCCAGATTACAGCTGGACACGGGGGCAGGCCTCCTACGTCACATCCGCTAACCTAGATTTTAATGCAGCGTGCAGGGCTGTCAGACAAAGGCAGGGTGGGGGGTTGTCGTGTTCTAGCTGCCCTCATTCATTCCACCCAGGCTTTGAAATGCCTGCGTGGGCGTGTTTTCTGTGTCAGGAGAAAAGTGGGAGACTCCTGCATCATGTGTCTGCTGCTGATTTTCCAGAACAAACCGTCTGCACATCACATGCAGGGCTGTGCGTCCACACTTTAACCACTGTAGAGGCTCTCCTTTAAAAACAAGGTCGTTTATTTACAAGAGGGACAGACATGCAAACAGTAAAACCTCATGTTTAATATTAAAACCACAAATCCTGGAATTCATCATAAAAATATGAAGCCAGTCTGAGGATTCAACCCCCATCTCAGCTCATTAATAGTAAAACAGATTCGTTTAAAAGCTTTAAATATTCATACATGAGGAATAAAAAAACAATTCATAGCCCGACATGTTCCTGATATAAAAAACATTTTCACATTTAAATTGTAAACGGTAAAAAAGTTAAAACATGAATTGTAAATTTGGAAAAGCATCCAGTTTATAATCAGAGATTTGGGTTAAAAAAGGGTGGATCAGGAGAGAAAACTGACATCTAACTGAAAGTCTTCCTTCATGCAGGCTTCAATCTACTCATCCACAGTCAGGTTACAGTGGAAATGCGTCCAGGTCCTCGTCTCTCTACAGAGGAAGACATTTTCAGCTGCTCGCACCGAGGATCTCATCCATTCTGTCAGGATAAACTCATTTATTGTCTGGTGAGAGATGAGCTTCCAGTTGTTGATCACTCCAAATGTTAAAATAACATTTAACCAAAGTTCCATTTCATTGGATCGTCATGATCATTAATCATTCGTGGTTTGTTGTGACACTTGTTTTCCTCTCATCATGCATCACCATCATTTGGTCAAACTCAACGTTGACGTTTCAGTGAGACATGAATCCAGCATCAGTAGGGAACATCTCCACAGATTAGGCTGCCACACCTCATGTTCTACCTTTAATACCAGTGGAACCTCTTAAAAACTCTGTCTACTGCCCCCTGGAGGTGACACCGTTCAATGCAGACACTGTCTACATGCTGAAGATGGTTCCCAGTTTGTGGACAGACAGGTGGATCCGGCCCGACAGCTGCAGCTCGTCCTTCAGCAGACGCCCCACCTGCTCCGAGTACAGAACGTCGCAGAACACCCAGATCTCTGCCTGCTCCCGCCGGATGTTGGCGTTGCATGGTGGAAACCCGGAGCTGCGTACGGATCGGCTCAGGGAGCGCCACACCTGGGGACAGAGAACAAATTAATTTACATATTCAAGGGAAAACGGTTTCTTTATAACATCTTTAAATTAGGCCAAAAACCAGTAGGACTTGGAGGGAACGACTGCATTGCAAAACAAATGTAATCTAGATAAGTAATTTTTCTTAAAATAAGGGATTTTTTCCCCTTGAATTAAGGAGGTAAGTCCGATACTTTGCCAAAGGAACAAAAAAATTACATTTAAAATAAGAAAAAACAATTGAATTGTCTTATTTCAGGTGCATACTGTCTAATCATCTTATTTTAAGAGTAAATATATTCATTCCACTGGCAATCTTGATTACCTCTTCAAATTTAGGGTAAATACACTTAATTTAAGAATAAGAACAAAAGCATCCAACACACAAGGCACCACTGTTTAACCTCAGCGATCATCAGACCAGATTAAAAATATTTCCACCCCGTTTGTTGCGTCACAAAGAGCCACCTGATGGCGTTTGGCTGAGCTGACCTAAATCAGATCAGGAGGCTGAGTCCAAACAGCTGAACACAGCGGAAAATAAACCGACCTGAGAGATGGAGGCACAGATAAAGATCCACAATCCCAGCAGAAACAACCTCCCGTCTCCCTCTGTGAGGGTTTTGGTTCAACAGGCTGAGATCTTTTCCCATCAGATCCTGAAAGATGTTCCACAGATATAGAAAAGTTCAGATGGAGCCGTGGGATAAAACCACTCAGGATGTTCTCACCCAGGGGAGCAGCTACCTACTTTCTGAGATGTTTGCAGTCGCATTAAAACAATCTAGTTAAATCAATTATTACTGTCCAAGCAAGAAAATAACCAGAAGCAAGTCTCTTTATTGTTTCTGCTTTGATCTGTTAAAGGAAAAGTCGGATCAGCAAGGAAAAATCAATGGGTCATTATTTATACCTAAAACTAATACGTTCGCTGTTATTTAATGAATTTGGCTTTAATTAGTAAAAAATGAAAACAATAAACACAAGCACAGAGTCCGGGAGCGGACATTTTTGCCCAAATATAGTAACACCTAGGAGTGTAAATAATAATCGTTTTGTATCAATGCATCAATCCAACAGCCAACGATCGATGCATCGACACGTCCGCAAGAGAATCGATTCATGTTTTTTTTTCCTGCGGTCTATTTTTATTCATTTGCTCCTGGGTGTAATTCTGCTCCCATGCTGCGGTGGCGCTAAACCTATTTTGCCCTCCTACCGCGCTTCCTGGTTATACTCTTACAGCAGTGTGTTGCAGTGAGCTTGACACAGACATTTTTAAATTATGCTCAGTATTGAAGCGTGGTCTGTGCTACACGCTGTGGGTCTAGATACGGCCGAGGCGGCGAGGAAGTGGCAGCGAGTTTAGTCCGACGACGGAGGGACATGAGGGCCAAAAAGAACGGAGATCCAGGTGGAAAAGGGTCCCAGCGTTCTCGCGCACCTCGCTCTTCTAGCTGGTCAAACGTCACGTGTTGTTTTCTGCAATTTCGGTCATAAAAACAAAACAAGCCGGCCTCCTGTCTGCGGCCAGCTACAATTTGGGAGAGGAGCAGCTGAGCGTCTGTGGAGGGGGCGGGACGTCTGGAGCAGAGGTATTTCATTGCACTCATTGCACTGATTTTCTGCAGTATTTTCTGATGCAAGGCCTTCAGAATCTATAACACAGGGGTATTATTATTTTTCAGTGCATGAGGTTTTAATAGGAATAGGTGGAGTGCAACTTTTCTACTTCTGTTATTTGCTGCTGTTTCAAAAAAAAATGCATAACGATATCGTTGATTTATTTCAAATTTGAAACATTGTCTAGCCTGTAGGGTAAAAAAAAATAAAAAATGAACCAATTAATCGAATCGTATCGTGGTGTATTCTTGAGTATCAAAAATAATGAATCGTTGGGTCAGGAAATCGATACTGCCATCTTCCAGCAGTGACGTCACGGTGCGGTAAGCCTAGCGCCATTCTCCCCGCTTTACAAGCTAAATCAATGGGAACTACTAGACACATCTGCAATCAACAACAATTATTGAAGATTTCCAGAGGACTTCACCATTGAAATTCACCAGAGCTATAGTGAAACTGACAATGCCCACGTGCATGGCAGCTGGATGCTGGAATACATTGGGTAAAAGTGAAACAAAAATAACAAACAAAAAATGTTTTTCCCCTTTTCCCAATTCCTGATCCTCCACGGACGGGTTGGTCGTTGGAAAATATGTAGCCAACATTTGGAAGAAGAATGTTTTCAAGATGACTTGGATAATAGCGCGTTGTGACAAACACCAGATACAGCACTGGGACTTGATCAACAGCCGATACCGCACCGTGACGTCACTAACCAGTAGGTGGCAGTAGTGTTCTTTGACAAACATGGATGCCTCCAGTAAAGTTCTGAATTAAAAACACTGATCATTTATTGAACAGGATGGAATAATTTGATATTTTAAGTACTTTCAAAAGTTTGAATTCTAAATATGTTTAGATTTTTCCTTAAAGCTGGTCAGTAGAGACCTTTCAGTGTTTAAATCCCAGCTAAAAACAGACATTTCTCTCCTCGCTGTTCAACTGAGGATGATGATGTTTTTTTGTTTAGATTGTGGTTTTATTTTCTACAGATCTTTTAGAAAGGGTCTTAAATGGTGCCATTTTGCATTTTTTTTGTTTTTATCTTATTTAGTTGCCTTTACACTAAAAATTGGAACTATTTGTATAACATATAAAGCACTAGAAGCAGACTGTGTGGATTGTTGAAAAGCTCTATATAACTGATTGTTAATAAACTCTAGAATAAATAGAATAAACTCTGCCTGCATCTGTTACTCAGTAATGCTATGAATCAGACAAACCACATCTCTTTCATTTTCAGTTTTACCACCTGAAAGCCGTCTTTCTGGATCTTCTTCAGCTGCCAGTCAACAGCTGACATCCCTATTCCAAAGAATACACCCTCGCTCTCGTCATTAGCGCCGCTCAGGTGCGCCGGCCCCACCCACTTTCTCAGAGGAGCTCCGGGGCCCAGAACTGAAGGAACAGAGGGCCAAACATTCAGTGACTGAGCCTCAGCTGGGTTATTGATTATATAACCTACAGAAAACAGTCGTTTCATCCAGAAATGGCCGACTGGATGTGATCAAGGTTGGGCATCGTTTTAATTTGAACAATTCAGGTTCAGATTCCTTCATTCAGTCTGAATCCAATCATTAGATGTCCTAAATTTGCTGGCTAACCAAAACTGTCTACATGAAACAGTCTGAATCTCTCAATGAAATTAAATTCATTGAACTTCTAACTTTATGTGAACGTTACTATAAATGATCACATAGTTATTTTACAACCAGTATATAAATATCAAACCTATGAACTCTAACATAATCGTATGAATTTCTTTTCACAGTTAGAGTTTCTGGTGGAGTTTAATCGTTTAAAACCTCATTTAAACACATTAACATATATTCAGATTCTGATGCTACTTTTGCCATTTAAGACAATTTTATCATTTTATTTACCTGATTCTGACTGTGCTTTTCTTCTAGTCTGAGCTGTTTTAATCTCTCTTAGAAAAATCCTTTTTACAGGGTATGATTTTTGGCAGAAGAGGTCATTTTATTAAAATAGATACTCATCGATTGCACATTTACAATTGTTTGTTTGTTAAATTGTTTCCAATCAGCTAATGAGAGCGTTTTTCCCTACGAGGGAGGTTTTTTTCCAAGCGTGGCACGGCGAGGCTTTTAGGAAGAATGATGGTTAATTATGAATGGAAAGCTGTGATACCTCCACCTACTGTCACTGCATATCCAGTAAGAGAGCTTAAAAGGACCAAAACAGAGAGAGAGTTGAACTTAAGAATGACTAAAGAAGGAACTAAGCTCAGACCCGCCAACTCATGGTTGGCTGAGCTTTAGCCTTAGATTGACTCTGGACTAGAAGCTAGCTGTAGTCCTCCTAGACACACATTTCATCACTTTTATTACAAGAAGTGCACGTTATCGCCTGCACACAGTGAGAAGCAAAGCTACGGTACTCAATGGTAGAAGGTTGGGGGCGGGGCTTAAAGTTAGAACTAAACTGTTCAGAATCAGTTAGAGGGCTTTTAAGTTTAAGCCACACTTCTGAATCCTGTATCACAAACAGATGGCTGCACACTCACTCCTGTGCATTCTTTATCACTACACGAAGTCAAAACGAACACGAAACGCTGATATTTTCCAAAACGTTTGTCGTAAAGACGGAGACGTAAA